AAAAAAAAAAAAAAAAAAAAAAGGAACAACCCTAGGGACGTGAAAGCAGCTGCCTGCAGAATCTGGGGCACATGTAAGACACAGCCCTCCTCCCAACGGGCAGTATCACCCCAACTGTATTCATGGGATGATGGGATATACGAAGGAAAAAGAAATCATATACTCTTTGGACGTGAAAGAAGCTGGATACATAATCTGGGGCACATATGACAGTATCCCCTCCCGACAGCCCTTACTTCAGCAGCTGTATTCACGGCAGAAGAAAAACAAATAATATACTCTTTGGAATCTGGACGTGAAAGCAGCTGGATACAGAATATAGACTCCAAGTGAGATTGTGCCCTAAGTTGCAGAGTCGTCTTCAGGTATCCGTATAATGCGCCCTGTGCCTCGTTGACAGGGCACGAACAGAGGATGAAAAGAAAAAAGAAAAAACAAAGACGACCAATGATGAAAGTAGCTAAGTTTCTTGGTAGATGCGTTCCTTCCTAGTACCAGTGTGAACATACTTCCTTCTTCGCGGCCTTCCCCTATTTCCTCCCTTTCGAACTCTCCTGCTTCTTTCAGTTTTTTTTTTTTTTTTTTTTTCCCCCCCCAATCGGGCCCACAAGTCCCAAACAAAACTAAAGGCTTGCCGACCCTCAGCGGGGCTCTGGAAACTTTGGAATTTTGGAAAAACTGCTCACACTGGTTTTCTCGAATTTATTTTGCATGGCGGGGAGGTACTAGTGGTTCAAGCGTTCAAAAAAAAAAAAAAAAAAAAAAAAAAAGACTTTAAAGAAGGATTTTATCATCAACTTTTATGTTAACCATACGTGATCCAAGTTTTACATTAATTCCAAAATTTTAAATTTCTGACTTCGCCATAAGAGGATATGTTGTGCGAAGTCAGAAATTTTGGAATAAAAAAAAGCAGCACTGCAGGGATAAACAATATATAATATTATAACACCCCGTTCGCATTCGCGGGGAGAAGGCAAACGTATTCACGAAACCAACAAACGCTTTCGCCGTGCTACACAGGTTTCAAGTTTGAATGGAAGCGACGGATGTAAAGCAGGCTAGCAGCCAAGAAAACAGCATTCCAATCATGTCACCCTCCCTTCACCCATCCCTCCGACCTCCCTCTCTCTCTCTCTCTCTCTCTCTCTCTCTCTCTCTCTCTCTCTCTCTCTCTCTCTAGCA